CTAATCTTTCTTATCATTTTGTAGCTATATGTTTGATGGAGTATGGCTGAAAATTAAATTACAAAAAAATAATTTTATTTTTTATATTGTAATGTAACATGAGCTGTATTATAATGTTTGTATTTAATACATTTATTAATATTTTTTATAACTTTAATTACTTATTCAAGTCATAATGGAATAAAAAAATAATAATATATAGTTTTTGCACAAAAATAATGACTACCACGTTTATATATATAAATGAGAATAAGAAACATAAATGTGGGACTAATTAAAAGAAACCTTTTTAATTTAGCCATTAACTAATTAGGTTTAACTAAAAGAAATTCTCTTAGATGTGGGATTAGTGAGTAATTAATTAAAAAAATGTAACTCCTTTTGGAGGAAAACGGAAAATGTTTTTATTAAATATTTTATTAAATGAGATTAGCTAGTAATTATATATATATGGATTATATACAAATTAAAATATTTATCAATCTTTCCAAAAATTTAGAATCACTTTACTAAACTAAAAAAAGGAAAAAAATCAAAGTACTCCCTAATTTAAATAATCTCAAAATTTCTGAGACTACCCAAAAACTATGGTCAATTATAAAGAATTTGAAATTATAGGATAATTACAAATCATAAACGTAGCAAATAAATTATATGATTATAATATCTATATTATTCTGAAATCAAATATTTCATCAGGTAGTTAAGTTTTCAAACATTTCTAAAACTTTTTTAATCTATGTATATGTAATTACAATAAAATAATATGTTAATCATTCACATTTTTATTTTATGCTCAATAGATTTGATTGTTTTTAACTAAAACCTTTATGATTACATGTCATGGTTTAAACAAAAATATATATGTAGATAAGTTAATAATAATTTTAAGTTTGAATATTTCATAGTTTTATTCAAAGTCCTTTACATCTCTGATATTATGTGAAGCCTTCTTAATTTTCTTTTGAAATATTTTTCAAAAAAATTTGAAAAATCCCGCATTTGGCTGATATATTTATAGGAAGTCCAGTCTAGTATGCATGATAATTAATTAATTGTTTATTTCTTATAGGAATTAATTATGTCAGTTATGTTTTATTCGCATGGTAATTAATTATGAAAAATGCATATTAGGAAACCAATAATGAGATGTTTTAAATATAAATAATTATATTAAAAAAAAAAAGTTAAAAACATTAAGGAATAAGTCTGCCCGTGCATCGCACGGGATACACATTAGTCCTTGTGATGATGACGGAGCTTTCAAATATGTGTTTGGAGGAGGTTTAGAACTTGTTGAGTTACATTATAGTGCTTGACAAAAAAAAAAACAAAAGAAAAAGAGAAAGAAAAATAAGAACTCACAAGACGAACGAAAAGGATTCTACTCCGCTTAAAAGGGGGAGAATGTCGTCCTTGCGTCTGGTCTCGATCTTGTTAGGAAAAAGGCAAACTCCCTAAATAAGGCAAAAAAAAAAGAAAGAAAAAACAGTCGAGTACTTAATTTGCATTTCAGCTTGAGCATGTGTGAGTAGTGTGTGAAGTTTTTGGTGGGAGTGATTAGTTGCATGTTGATTACGAATATGTGGCAGGTATTCGAGTAACTTATGTGCTCGAGAGTGTGATTGTTTATTTGAACCACGTTATTTTTATATGTATCCTTTCATTGACCAATGCCTACACTGCCACCCCAAAAGTCCTCTGGATTTACGATTCATGAACTTTGATTGTTTTAAAGTATGAATAGACAATTGACAAGCTTATGTTGAAACAGGATCATTGACCAATCTGAGGGTACCCACTTGGTATTCATGTAAGAAACTGAGTGAGGCATACATATTATAGTACCGTGCTTGAGAGTTTGTCTTTTCAAAGCGTAGAATTCGAGCTGTAATTGAGATATGCTATATTGGTCATTGGAACTCTTCTCGGCTAAGTCGATTAATTTGAAACTTGTCTTGCCTGAAACTATTATCCATGCTCATTTGCTTGTTTTCTTTTCTTTTCATGTCATTTTGTTCAGGACGAACCAAGGTTTAAGTGTGGGGGAGTTGTTTGTCCTATTTTTGTTGCATTTTTAGTTGTCATTTTGCCTTTTTTTTCCCCCCCATATTAGGTCTTTTCGTTGATTTTTAGTTCGTTTTGTAGTTTATTGCGTGTTTTCCTTTATTTGGAGATTTTCTGTGTTTTCCGGTTGTTTCTCGGTTGTCTCTGCATTTGTTTTCATTTCTGGTATGCAGGTCAGGAGTATCGGGAGAATTTATTTTCAAGGATGAATTGGTCGTGTGAGCACATTTATTTAGAGGAGTTCGTTGGCGACAAGCAGGAAAAAACATAATCAAATTCCGAGTCCAGACGAGCCCAAACGAACCTGAGACGCGAAGTGGTGCAACTAGGCACGGGCCCCAGGCTGCCGCGCCAGCCTGCTGCGCCATGACGCCTGTCACGTGCGTACAGAGTGTCATGCCCGAGCGTCGCACCCACAGAGGTTCTTCACGCCGCGGTACTGTCCAGGCCCCACGCCGCACCCGTTTCGTTGATGAAGATGTGGTCATTGACCTTTCTGAGCCTGAGGACGAGACATGTTCGAGTCGTGCGAATAGGCGCGGAAGAGGTCGAGACGACTGACCAGGCTGTGCAAAAGAAGCTCGTGACGGCCGCATGACGCGTAAACACGCGACACCCATGACGAGGCTCGCAAGGACTAAACGTGTGAGAGAAGGTCGAGTGAAGGAGGGTACGCGCGAGATGGAACAACGAGGTGATGACGAGGATTTAGCGAAGGGGTCAGGCGGTTCGCGAAAGAGGATACAAGTGCGGTTTTACCACGTGATGGATGATGGGGGCCAGGGACTCCGTTGACGGACCTATGATCGGGGAGAGTTTCACGTGTCGACCACTCGCGAGCAGGACGACGCGCGAATGAGGGAGCACGCGCGTGGTGCGACGAGACACGCTGATGAAGATCGCGTGTCCCGCTTTCCGATAAGCCACACACTCGTGCCTTGAACCGACGATAGGTGTCCCGGAGGTTCACACACCCGCGCCCCTCGAAACGAATAAAATTGCAAAAGAAATCAAGAAGAAATCTAAGGCAAAGTGTTTGAACAAAAGTTTGGTTTTTTATTATGATCTTCAATGAATAAAAATAACAAGAAGAAGGGCCTTTATATAGGCATCAAATAGATCTAGTTATAATCTAGCTATAACTCTAATAAAGCAATAAAATTTTAAGTATCCTAAACAATCTAGAAATCTTATGAAAAGAAGGAAACTAAATATCTAGAGAATCTTAAGTGATCTTGTCTTGCACTCCAAGTAAAGAACCCTAGCAGCCATTCACACGCCGTCTCGGATCCCCACCGCCCGCGCGCTTTGCCTTAGTCCTCGAGGACTAAGGTCGCGCCTCCTTCTATCACGCGTGTACTCTCGCCCCGCGCATCGCGCGTGCCCGCATTCCTCGCGACTTCATCGCGCGCGTCCCTGTCACCCGCCGCGTCCTCGTCACTTTTTCGTGCCTCTATCCGATGTGCTTGTCGCGCGTGCGTCTATCCCCGTCGTTCGCGCATCGTACCCTGGCGCCAGTCGCGCGCCATCACCCACTTCACCATCAATGGCCTGCGTCTCACCCGTGCATTACGCTAGCCTCTTGAGTGCATGGTAGGCGCGGCTCGATGCGTTCTTGAGCTGCCTTGCCACATACGCATCATTCCCGTTCCCTTCAAGTGTTTCCTTGTCCTCAAGGATGAAACCTGAGAACTGATTGTGCATCTCGTCTAGATCCTTCCAAGTCGCTTCCTCCGTTGGCAACTCCTCCCACTCGACTAATACCTCCGAACGATAGCGTCCAACTTTCCTTACTTGTCGACTCTCGATTGCGCGACTTGGCCTTACAATGGCCCATCCATCAGTCGTCGTTGCTGGCAGCTCCTCGCACCACTTGAGTTGGGAAACATGTATGACCGGGTGGATGTGCGAACTCTCTGGTAGCTCTAAGCGATAAGCTACTTGCCCTATGCGCTTCAAAACTTGATATGGCCCGTAATAGCGTACCCCAAGCTTTGTCGCGGCCCTTTGTGCAGTCGTGCGTTGTCTAAACGGCCGTAGCTTCAAGTTGACATAGTCGCCCGACTCAAAACTTTCCTCGCGCCTTTTTCCGTCATGAAAGGTCTTCATGCGATTGATCGAGCCTTCTAGTGTTTTCTTCAATTCTCGCAACATCAAATCTCGCTCCTCGAGTTCTCGACTGACTTCATCATTAATCGCACCTTCTTCTGATTAACTGACGAGTGTAGGCGGCTTGCGCACACAAGCTCGAATGGCGTTGTCTTGGTCAAGCCGTGGTAAGTGGTATTGTACCAATATTCAGCCCATGGTAGAAAATTTTCCCACTTCTTTGGAATTGATGCACGTAGCACCGCAAGTATTGCTCCAGCATGCGGTTGGTCACCTCGGTTTGCCCATCCGTTTGTGGGTGGTAGGCTGAACTCATTGACAGTTTGGTCCCTTGTAGCTTGAAGAATTCCGACCAAAAGCTACTCATGAAGATCCGGTCGCGGTCGGATACTATCGAGCGTGGTACCCCGTGCAACTTCATAACGTATTCGATGAATAACTTGGCGATGGATTTTTCCGTGTAGGGATGCGTGATGGGTATGAAGTGTGCATACTTCGTCAGTCGATCCACCACGACCATAGCTCCGTTGAACCCATTAGAGATTGGCAGCCCTTCGATGAAGTCCATAGTGATGTCCTCCCAGATCTTCTCGGGCACCAGCCAAGGTTGCAGTAAACCGCCCGGTCGTCGTGCGTCGACCTTAGTGCGCTGGCACTCATCGCAGAGTGCGACATACTCCCGGACCGCGCCCTGCTGCCCCGACTAAAAGAAGGTATTGGCCATCCTCATCCATGTATGGTAGAATCCCGAGTGCCCTCCGATCTTAGAGTCGTGGAAGTGCTGCATAATCCTCTCATGGAGTTCTCCACTGTTAGGCACATACACCCGGCCTCGGTGAAGTAGTAGGCCATTGTGCTGTTCATAATCGGCGTCGCCTGCCTCAACTCCTCGGCGGAAGTCTTGGCATTGGGAATCGTCCTCTTGCACCTTCCTAACTTCTTCCCATACAACCCATGTTGGCCCGGTTATGGCCTCGAGCTCTCCAATGTCTGTCCGTCTTGATAGTGCGTTAGCCACGGCATTTTGTCGACCCAATCGGTAAACTATCTCGAAGTCGAAGTCCATGAGCTTTGAGACAAACTTCTGCTGCTCGGGCGTCAAGATCCTTTGCTCGAGCAAGTGCTTGAGCGATTGTTGGTCGGTCACAATCCAAAAATGCCGCCCCAATAGATAGGGCCTCCAACATCGTATAGCTTCTACGACCGCCAGCATCTCTTTCACGTACACAGACAGCCCCAGTCGGGTCGTGCCTAGTGCTTTGCTGAGAAAGGCCAAGGGAAGTCCTTCCTGTACAAGCACCGCACCAATTCCTATGTCGCTTGCGTCCGTGTGTACCTCGAACAAAACATCGAACCTCGGCATTGCTAGCACGGGCATCGTGGTTATTGCGCCTTTAAGCTTCTCGAATGCGATCTCGCTAGCTTCGGTCCACTCGAACCCCACTTTCTTGGTCATCTCGGTTAATGGTTTGGAAATGGTCCCGTAGTCCTTCACGAACTTCCGATAGTAGCCCGTGATCCCTAGGAATCTGCGTAGCTGCGTTAGGCTTGTCGGTTTAGACCAGTCGACCATAACATCTATCATCATTGGGTCGACTTTTATGCCATCATGAGAGATAAAGTGACCAAGATATTCGACCATCTCTTGTCCAAACGAGCACTTGGATGGTTTGATGCGGAATGAGTTGGCCTCCAAGATTCGAGCACCACACGCAAGTGCTCAATATGCTCGGCCCATGTCTTCGAGACCAAGATATCGTCGAAGAATACTAGGACGAATTTGCGCAGATGGTCCTTGAAGATGGAATTCATAGCGAACTGAAAAGTGGATGGAGCGTTGCACAGCCCAAACGGCATCACCAAATACTCGTAGTGTCCTTGGTGTGTGCGAAAGGCCTTTTTTGAAATTTCAGCCTTGTGTAGTCGAATCTGGTGGTACCCGGCCCTAAGGTCGAGTTTAGAGAAGTAGCGTGACCCTCCTAACTCATCGAGCATGTCGTCGACACTGGGTATGGAAAAACGATCCTTGATTAATCGCGGCATTCAGTGCTCGATAGTCGGTGCAGAACCTCCACGTGCCATCTTTCTTCTTGGCTAGTAGTACCGGTGATGAGAATGGGCTTGAGCTATGTTGGATGAGCCCGGACTCAAGCATCTCACCGACTTGTCTTTCTATCTCCGTCTTCTGGAAGTGCACGTACCGATATGGAAGGACGTGTACCGCATGCTGCTCATTGGTCAAAGGTATGCGGTGGTCAAACTTCCGATGTGGTGGTAGACCCTTAGGCTCGCCCAGCACACGGTCAAACTCCTCGAGTAACCCGCTCACCTCGTCTTGCTGCTGCTCGGCCTCGGCTATGTGCGCGCTTGTGTTCTCAACCACAACAGCAAAGATTTAGCCGCCCCCGCGCCAAACCCGCTCTATGCTTTTGAGACCAACCTCTTTGGTCCCACTGTTCTCACTAGTCTTCAATGTGACTTGTTGCTCTCCAGCTTTGAACTTCATGACCCCGGTTCGGTAATTGATGGTCACTTCAACTAGTCCTTCGAGCCATTGGACTCCCAACACAACGTTGGGTCCAACCAAGGGTAGCGCGTAGAGATCGGCCTTGATGATGACTCCTTGGAATTTTATTGGCACCTTGCGATAAGACTCGGTGCAACTTAACCATTCACCATTGGCTACCCGGACCTCGAATGGCTCTGTCGTCATTGTTGGCAATTTAAATTTTTGGGACAGCGTGGTGTTGATGAAGTTGTGTGATGACCCATTGTCTACGAGTACGATTACTCGACGATCCTTGACCCATGCAGGTAGTCGCATTGTCCTTGGCCCTCGAGTGCCAGCCATTGCGTGCATTGAGATCTCAGCTTCTTCTTCGAGCACCTCAACCTCAACTTTGCTTTCTTCAATCTCGGGCTCCTCCTCATCCGAGTCGATGACGTCGATCACAAACGCCTGTTTACATCGGTGGCCGGTGTGAACTTCTTTTCACACTTGAAACAAAGCTCTTTCTCTCGTCGGCGTTTCATCTCCTCGAGCGACAGTCTCTTAACTTCCAGGATCGGTGTTCGAGCGTTATTTGGTGGCCGGATGCTCGGTACGGTTTTTGTGTCGCGGTTCGGGAAAACGCGAGTCCGCCCGTCCCCTTCGAGTGGCGGCGAGGTGGTCTTCTCGGCGTCGAGCAACCTCCATGGCCGCATACATTGACTCAGGCCGTTGTAACGAACTTCCGCGGCTAATTTGAGGCCACCGATGAATGCTCCAACCAGTGCGGTCTCGGTCCAGCCCTGTACGCGACACGCTAATCTTTCGAACTCCTTTAGGTAGTCGTGCAAGCTGTCTGGCTGACGAATGCGCGAGAGTGCTTCGTCATAGTTGTGGTAGTCGGATGTCCCGAAACGCGTGAGCAACTCGCGTTCGAAGTCGCCCCACTTGATGACTCGCTGCCGGTTGCGGTAAATACTTGTGAGCCAATGCCACCATACATTGGCTTCGCCGTCAAGGTAGTAGGCTGCATATCGCACACGGTCATTAGCCTTGGTCTCGTTGAGCTTAAAGTATTGCACGGTCCGGTTGAGCCATGCCTCGGGATCAGTGCCAGTGAAGGTGGACAGCGTGAGCCTTGGTTTGTTGGGCCTTGGGCGATCGTGTACATTGGATGCTTGTGACCGCTGCTCAAAGTCCTCCTCTCGCTCGTGCTCGTCGCATCGCCGTTCTTCCTCCTCGGCCTGCTCGCACCTCAGTTGCCGCAGCGGTGGTCGCACATGGTGTTGGAAATTTCGGGCCATCTCATCGAACCTTCAGTTCATGCTCTCCATCAAATCACGAACCGATGCCTTGGTCGTGTGGAGCCCCTCGCCTAGGGTGTCCATGGCTTCGCTCATGCTTCGGACTTGAACGTCTTGATTATCGATCTTGTCCTTTATCTTCTTGTTGGCCATGGTTTTCTTTTCTTGTTTTCGCTCCTTGCTTCGAGGACTCGTCTTGAAGATTTTTTTTTTTCTTGAACGAAATTAAAAAGATGGGAAAGAAAAAGAAAGGGAAAGGAAAAGACACACGATTTTGATACTCTCAATGAAAGCACCAATGATGAAGATCGCGTGTCCCGCTTGCCGATAAGCCACACACTCGTGCCTTGAACTGACGATAGGTGTCCTGGAGGTTCACACACCCACGCCGCTCGAAACGAATAAAATTGTAAAAGAAATCAAGAAGAAATCTAAGGCAAAGTGTTTGATTAAAAGTTCAGTTTTTTATTATGATCTTCAATGAATAAAAATAACAAGAAGAAATGCCTTTACATAAGAATCAAATAGATCTAGTCCTATTCTAGCTATAACTCTAATAAAGCAATAAGATATTAAGTATCCTAAACAATCTAGAAATCTTATTAAAATAAGAAAACTAAATATCTAGAAAATCTTAAGTGATCTTGTCTTGCACTCCAAGTAAAGAACCCTAGCTGCCCTTCACACGCCGCCTCGGATCCCCACCGCCCGCATGCCTTTCCTTAGTCCTCGAGGACTAAGGTCGCGCTGTCTTCTATCGCGCGTGTACTCCCGCCCGGCGCATCGCGCGCGCCCGTGTTCCTCGAAGCTTCATCGCGCGCGTCCCTGGCACCCGCTGCATCCTTGTCACTTGTCGCGCCCTCCGTGCCTCTATCCGATGTGCTTGTCGCGCGTGCGTCTATTCCCGTCGTTCGTGCATCGTACCCTCGCGCCAGTCGCGCGCCATCACCCACTTTACCATCAATGGCCTGCATCTCACCCGTGCGTCGCGCTAGCCTTTTGCGTGCATGGTAGGCGCGACTCAATGCGTTCTTGAGCTGCCTTGCCACATCTGCATTACACGCGTGGAGCGTGGGCGGAGACGCGCGGGACGCGCAAGGACGGGCGAGCACAAGTCCTCGGCGGACTAGGAGTACCGCACCGCCTAGGGTGTAACACCCTGCCTTGACTAGCTTTGACTTTTGAAAAATCAGAGTTAATTTTTCGCTTTTATTTTTGAAATATTGTGCGAGCTTATTTTCGAAAATACTTTCTTACTTGCAGGACGCTACGAAAATTTTCTTAACTTACTATCTCGGACATAATAAAACATGCAACCAAATCGAGCCACTATGGCGTTACTGGAATTATACATGCAGTCTGTCTGTCTCGCACTAATAACTTAGCAGAAGCTGAAAGTATGAAATACAATCATACAAACTTATACATAACATGGTTCATGAATGGTGGTACATAAAATGATTGAAAAATGCCCATGGCTCATGACCACACTTGCCACACTAGCTCACCCGGCCCGCTCGACTCCGTCACCTGAAAAATACAATGGGGGCGTGAGCAAACCACTATGCTCCGCAAAGTCCAGTACTGAATTAAACAACATAAATAATAACATATCATGAGCATCAATATATAAGAGCTGAATTGTAAACTTTTCTTTTCTTCTCTTTTCTTTCTTTTCTTTTCTTTTCTTAAACTTTGGTCCATCGACCCTCGGCCGCTCGTGTGCACACCATCCAGACACTAAGGCCAAAGCCTCAGCCGGATACCAGGTGGATTAAGAAGGCCCTTAGGTCGGCCTCTCACCTGGGAGAACTAACTGTCTAAAACATACCTCAATCACGGTACATATGTTATAAATGATGTAGAATCCACCACCTGATAACTCAGAAAATATCTTATACAAGTGCTGGACTGAAGTAGCGGTCGGAGGCTCGACTCTCCTTAGGCTACATAAACATACAAGCAAAATAATGCTAAGTATTATGATATGAATATTTTTATTATATGCTAACATGCTCGGTCTATCTGCTCAATTAAACTGGACTGGTTTGGCTCGAAAAATTACTAAAATTCCAAAAAGAGACTCGGATTGGAAGTCACGAATCAAAATGGACTCGAACCGCCGGTCGAATCGGTCGGTTCGCTGACTGTCCGGACCGTCGGCTCAGGCTGAACAGGGCGGTCGGGCTCCGGTTCGGGCTAACTGGGCTCGATCCCTTGCCGGGCCTGCTGGTGCCCAGACGCGGCACTGGACACGCCTGGTGTGGCCGGGCTCTGTCGTGGGTACTGGTGTGCTCGGATGGGCGCGGCCAGACGCTGCTGGGACGGTCCTGGCACGGCTGATGCCCCTCGGGTGCGGCTGGGCACGACCGAGACTCGCTGGGTGCGCTGGCACGGCACAGGCACGGGACATACGGAGACTGGGGCTATGCGGAAGTGGCCAGGCGTCCCTAAGGGTGCTGGGCACTCGGGCGTGCTGTTGGGCACGTCCCGTGGCCGACTGGCTCAGCAGACCTATCTCGGGTCAGCACTGGACACGGCACGAGGCTCTGGCGCGAGACCTCGTGCCGCTGGGACTGGCACAGAGCTGCAGGGCGCCGTGCATGCGACCTGGGCACGGTGGGTGCTGTTACCACACGTGCTGGCACGGACTCGCGTTGCCGGGCGCGGTCGCGGGCACTGGGCTGTCGTGTGTCACGCCTACAAGGCGCGGGCACGGGCAGGGACACACTTAGCCTCTGAGGCACGGGATCTGGGCACTGACTTGCACGGACAGAGGCAATCCTACCCTCTGAATGGCACGGGCAGACACGGGGCCGGGCACTGCCGCGCTACATGCGCGGCCAGTGGCCATGGCCGACCCTTGCCGGCATTCCGGTGACTTTATTCGGTGACATGCAACACATATTATCTTAATATGATAAAATAGGCACAAAAATTCTAAGAGGCACCAGGTGACCTCGAGTCAAAATGCATGTGGCTCGAAAGGGCCGATAAGGCTCGTGGCTACACTAAGTTACCGAACAAAAACATTCTCAACATACAAAATCACTTAGAGCTAAATACTTAACATAACAAATAATGACTTTAAGGGCTAACACTGTAACGCCCCACTTTTATTTGCCGAAAATCAGAATAAATTTTTCAAAATTTATTTCAGAACACCTGGGACGCTACTCATTTTCAAGACGAACTTCAATACTAACCAATTTTTCAATACACGATTATTCATCAAACTCAATCATCAATCATCATCAATAATACTAACTCCCAAAAATGGGTTTTCCAAAATTTCATAAATCATCACCCAAACCGGGTTCCAACAATATTCATAAATTCTAAGGAACATCTCCTTAACATTATTCAGTCATAAAATTCGAAATTCATAAATCCGATAATACCCCAAGTTCATAATCATAAAACCAGTTCATAAATGCGGAAGCATAACAAATAATAAGGCCAGTCTTATAAACCGACCACCAATCGCTCTACTCCGCCGTCGTACCTGCCTCGCTTAACCTGAAATGTGAATTTCAGGTGGGGATGAGCACAGTTGGAAAAAGTAGTGCTCACCACTATGCAGTAAACATTATTCGTAATAATGAAACAGTAATCAACAATCAAGAAGGTATGGTCTCAGCATGTATACGAATCAATTAATTATCCCAATCTCCTATCAATCATATCAATAATAGACTCATGTGCACACCTATAGCAATAGACTACTGCCGAACTATATACCGAACGCCTTATCTAAGGCCTTACAACGAGTGTCCGGCCAGTAGGAGTATCCCGCCGGCCAAGGCCTCACCTTGGTCTTACCAACGGGGTTGTCCAGCACAGGGACCTTTAACCCAGGTCTTACGGCTCAAAATGTGTCCAGCACAGGGACCTTTAACCCAGGACTTACGGTTCAAAATGTGTCCAGCACAGGGACCTTTAACCCAGGACTTACGGTTCAAAATAATAAGGAGACCACCCAAGGAGTACGTTCTATAGATACGGGGATAACCGTTCGACGGCCGGTACAGCTCGCATCGAAGGCTACATGTTCCACATGCATACTTGATCATACCAAAAATTTAAAACACTAATAACATTTACAGCATAGACAATTTTACATTAAACCCACCTGATACTGAAGAGGACGAAGGTGAATGCACGCTCAAACAAGGGTGAGGACTCGACTCTTAATCTACAATTAAAATATTTATCTTATTACTAAGGGCAAACAGACAAACAAGCAAAGACAAACAAGGAAAATTAAACACATAAAGCAAATGAGACAAACAAGGCCATAACTAGATGCTTAACCTCTCGTTAAAATAGATTAAAATTAAGCCTGCTTCTCATCTTTTTGTTATGGTTTGGTAGCAGGAATGTAATCATGGTCAATTTCAAGGAGCAGATAAACAAAATTATCTTCATAATGAGTACGAGTGACAGACAACAGAAAAGGCCTAAGCTTAATCATCAGCCAATGAAAAATGTGCACCAATCTCCATTTCGGTACTCCTTAAATCAGATACAAATAGCATCATAGTTTGTTTATCCATCATATTCTATTAGGACAAGCCTGTAACCACCCACGTTTACAAAGTAATTGAAAATGATAGTTGCAACTTTAGTTACTAAATATCCTTATGTAACATATCTTTTAATTCATCTCATAAAGACAAAATGTTCTAAATTGTCAAAAATAGAATTTTAATTTTCTACCAAGTTCCATTATAAAACTTTTCTAGTACTTGATCTTTAAGCATCAAAACCCATTTCACAGCTCATCACATAATAGAACATGTAAAAAAAAACAAAACACTAACAGACACATAATTTAGTGGTACAATAAGAAATTTACTACAGAAATCACAATATCCTAACATGCTTAATTATTATGTATAAAGGCATTAAAACTGAAAATAAAACCCGACTCTAAGGCTCAGTAAGATCATGCTTTCCATAAAAAGGAACTCAGCAAAAATTGGCGTGGCAACAAGGCAAGACTCACGGCAAAAACATAACATATAGGCCACTCAAAATTCTTCAATTTTAACAAATCACAGACTTTTTAAAAATACTTTACTAAACTCGGCCATAACATCAAGAGGAGGTCTCAGATAGTTTTTACCTCCTTTGCTGCAAAATAAAATGGAACAAAGAGCTTGGGTCTAAGGCTGTCGGACCCGGTTCTCTCGGCTTGGAGCAACAACTCGAATTTCTGCAGCCCGGTGGCCCGCTGCTCACGGCCTGGACTGCTCGAGTCTCCTTGACTGCTCGGTTGCTGCTCAGAACCGGCGAGGCGCTGTAGTGGTGGCCGGAGGATGCTGCAGCGGTTTCCCGTGCGATCTCGCTAACGGAGGTTGCGGACGGGTCGCGACTTTCTTCGACGGGGCTCGGTCGGCCCTCGGAGGCGGGGTTCTATTTGAAACAAGGGCGGTCGCTGGTGGTCTCGTCTCGTCACGTCGGTGTGAAGGTTGTTGTGAGACGCCAGCGAGAAGAGAAGCTCGCAACGGGGCTGACGGAGGTGCTGGGGTGCTCGAGAAAGAATTTCTCGGCGACGGCTAGCGGTGCTCAATGAACATGTACTTCTTGCGGTGGCGGCTGGCCGGAGATCACGGCAGTGCTATGGCTCGCGGCGGTGATTGCGCGCGATTGCTGGGATTCGACTCGCGACGGCCGAAGTCTAGGGGAGGAGGATGATATCTCTGCGGCTGCTCGAATCTTGTGCGAGAAGAGAGGGCCGATGGGCGTGGTTGCGAGTGAGAAGGGATACGATTGCGGCTAAATTTTGGAGGAGAGGATAGGTTTCCCCCTTCTATCCTGATGCGGCTGATATAAAAAAGGATTGACTTGCCACTTGGGCCTAAAGGAAATTTGGGCAGGAATTAATTTCTACGGGCCAAAATAAATAAACTTAAATGGGCCGAGGAAACAACTCTAGAAGGGTCGATTCCTCTCAAGCAAAAACAGCTCGGTTTGGTGAGGTAAAATGAATCGATTTTAGCATTTACTTAGGTTGAAAGAATAAATTCAAGGTTCGGGTCAAAATGGCTCGAAAACAGATCGAAACGAATTAAGAATCAGTTTGCGCGATTAAACCAAAAATCGTCGAAACAAATTAAAATTCTAATCAAATAAATTCTAATAATTCTAATAAACATATAATCAATTATATCACACAATATTCACATAGATACAATCACATAGCAATTAAATAAATAAATAGATAAAAAGAGACGAGCAATTAATAAAATAACCGACATATAAATAAAGCAAAGGCCAATAAATAATAATATAAAATCCATAAAATTTTAATAAACGAACGGCTTAGATTTGAATTACGCGATTAAATCGAAATCGCCGAACGACGAACGTTTTAAAATAAAACGATCGAGTAATTCAACATAGAATTTAAGTCGACATCGCGACTACTACCATAAATATAATCCTATAAATAAAATCCGATGGATAGAATAATCCAGGAAATTCAATAAATCGAACGGGGCGCTACAATCTATCCTCCTTAAAATATTTCCGTCCTCGGAAATACTAAGAACAAGAATTCAAGGAAGACGAAAGACTCAGCGAGAATTTCCAATCATGAGGTCCGAGTATCCCCTCCGGAACTCGACCCTGCTCGCAAGAGTCCTATCACCCTATACTCGAAGGCATACACTTACATACAGGACACAACCGACTCGCTCTATGCTCATATGTTTGCCTTCTTGCATGGGAGGGTGATCAGTCCTACCCGAGCTTAGGCGTACATCCTCTTGCAAGGGACCCAGTTCGGTTTAGCCTATACTCATGAGTATCAACAATTTGCTTCATACCTAACAACACACAAGACCTCAACAGGTCGTTCGGTGTATTTCCAGCGTACACCAACTACCTCACCATCAAGACGGATACGTGACGCTAAGTTTCAGTCTCGCGTCCGAGTCACACTGATAACTGGCCCATGATTTCATCACGGACCGTGCGTCTCCATTAGAGACTAAAACACGATACCACCTACCATCATGCTCATACTCTCATGATATCGACTCCACGAGTCGAACGCAACCCTTATGCACAAACATAAGGCTTGACCCAAAGCAACACGACATTCCCAATTTGCCGACTCGAGAAACACTCAAGTGAAGCATAGGGACTCATCGACTACTCTCCTTAATCAGAAATCATCGATTAAGGATTTACACACATTTAGTGGAACTTGGAGCTCTTGATTCAAAGTTCGAACGAAAGGGGGTTCAAAAAGGATAACCAAGGATTTCAGCATGAAACGGTTTCAACAGTTCAGTAAACATCGATGGCTGGCCGTATACGCTGGTCTGGGAGTTCGTGCGTACGGTGATGGCGGCTGCAGTTCGCATGCGAGTCAACGGTTGGCCGCGCGCAAGCCTCCCGTCTCTCAGCATGGTCGTGCGTGCTCGGCCACCACTTCGCGTGGCTACACCCAACCAGGGTCGGGGTTTGGTCCAAGTTTCCACAAGAAATTGCAATTCAAGGCTACCAAAAAAGAATGGTCTTGCTAAATTTTGAAAATTTTGGGGTCAACACAACAACACATATATCAGGCGTTCACAATTTCAAAAGTTTCAAAGTTTCAAAAATAGCAAGGTGCAAGTTCGAGTTCCAAGTCCACCAACTTCCTAAAACAACAAAACGCAATACTCCACAGATCTAACGATACTAGAATCTCAAAAGAACTCTCATGGCGATTCTCTCTAAGTCAGCGGCTTCTGCCGAGCCATTAAATAGATTGCTCGCCTCGGCTCTTCTGACTAACAGCGTCGGCCGACACATCAGCTCTTCCTCGGGTAGCTAATCGCGTCAGCAGTCCTAAACGAGCGCAACTCACTTCCCAATCTTCACACTTTGGAATTTGAACGCAAAGTTCCTCTCGGGATTTCGAAAGGAGGAAAAGAACAACAAATTTTTGAATAATGACGGTACTGCACTACACGATGTGCTTGCTCCAGACTCGTCTATTCTCCTTAAAAGATTTCTGCATAATCCTTTAAGGGTAGAAAACCTCTCCATCTCGAAAACAACAGGAGATAACATAGAAGAACTTATAGGTGGCGAGCTCGGCTCGTCAAGCACCTTCATTAAGTCCAGATGCTATAATCAACATCTACTTTGACTTAAACGGAATTCACAATTATACTCAGCCGAACTTAATTCGACTAAGTTGTTCGTGAAGTCCTGTAGACGTTGGAACCCATAAACTCGACATTAAGACTCAACCAAATACACATGGGAGTTCACATAATCCAAAACAAACATTGACCAAGTCAACCCCTTAAAGATACAGAAAACGAGTCAATTCGCAGTTTTAATTGCAAAAGTCATATATTTAAAAATACTAGATTTAAATCACAAAATGAGTTGATTAGGTTATCATACGAATTTAACTCTGAAATTTTGACCAAAATTTTATCCCCCAGAGTTAAGTAAAACCACCAATTTTCAGCCCCAAACTCAAAGCATGCTATTTTATAAAATTCGAGCAAGTTTATGACAAAAACGAGCATATAACAGCAACTAGATCAAATGAATGAATTTAGTCATGAAAATTTTACACAAGCAGTAACAACATTAGAACAGTAACATATAAAATGTTCAAAAATTAACATCAAGTATCCGAATTTTAGAAATTAAAACTAGTTTCTGCTGACTTCAAATTTTCAATAAGACCGAACCAAAATGAGTCCAAATAAATCCCATATTTTTGTATGCTGAAACTCATTACAAAATTGACTTAACCATAATTTGTCAGCAATTTATCACAACAGATAAAATTATTAAAATTAAATTATGAATCTGCAGAATTCATCAAATAATATTTAAATATAGCAAATGATGTCCAAAAATTCTAAAAATGTTACACCACATATAAAACATACAGGAAGACAACATACTCAAATTTCATAATTTTTGGAGCACAACTCAATTTAATAGGCATTTAACAAGATTCTGCTTAGAATTTCATACAATTATTAAAAATAACTATACTTATCATTTTAATCCAAAATGTTTACATAACATGTATCTTCAACAGTGGGACGAGCACACAAAATTTCACAGCAATACGAGCATCATACAATTCATCATAATTTATATACTAAAACAGCGACTAGACAATTTCATTAATTCATAACCGACTCATTTTACTACGAATCCGTCCGAAGTCTTCACTATAAGACTAAGGACAATACGAGTTCTAACTCACAGTGACTCTATCATGATTTGATAAGGTCTCGTTCGATTTCTCAAAATCGAAGAGATCGTCTACATATATACAACATATTTATTTAAACCGATTTCAAACTCATAAATACGAAATTAACATAGGCATATTCACATCTGATGGTCTTAATAATCATGGTTACAGACCTCCGAAAATCTCACACTTAAGATTTCTTCGGTTGTCTGCTCCCTTCGATTAAGCCTTTTCCTTTCAAGATAGCTCGCGAATGGTCCTCTTCCGAGGACACCAAAATACATCGAGGGGACTGTTATACACAGGACTTAGCTCGATAACATTATATCGAATTTCTAAACAAACAAAACCTCAAGTTAGAACTTAACTCTATATCGCTAGAGTTTAAATTCATACAACTAAGGTTCGCCACTCATCTAGAGTTCCAGAACATTTAAAAGTAGGAGGATAAATTCCTAAGCCCCGGATTCATTTCAGTAATCAATAACCAATCAATGCACAATAATCTTAAATCATTCAGGTACTCATACCTGAGCTGGCGCTGCATGACGGAAGCGAGTGGTCACAACTTACATCAAAATACTCAGATAACTTCACAGAGTTCACATAAATCACATAGAGTAGTCTACAGAAACGTAGACCCTCTCTGATACCAAACTGTAACGCCCCACTTTAATTTGCCGAAAATCAGAATAAATTTTTCAAAATTTATTCAGAACACCTGGGACGCTACTCATTTTCAAGACGAACTTCAATACTAACCAATTTTTCAATACTCGATCATTCATCAAACTCAATCATCAATCATCATCAATAATACTAACTCCCAAAAACGGGTTTTCCAAAATTTCATAAATTATCACCCAAACCGGGTTCCAACAATATTCATAAATTCTAAGGAGCATCTCCTTAACATTATTCAGTCATAAAATTCGAAATTCATAAATCCGATAATACCCCAAGTTCATAATCATAAAACCAGTTCATAAATGCGGAAGCATAACAAATAATAAGGCCAGTCTTATAGACCGACCACCACTCGCTCTACTCCGCCGTTGTACCTGCCTCGCTTAACCTGAAACGTGAATTTCAGGTGGGGATGAGCACAGTTGGAAAAAGTAGTTCTCACCACTATGCAGTAAACATTATTCGTAATAATGAAACAGTAATCAACAATCAAGAAGATATGGTCTCAGCATGTATACGAATCAATTAATTATCCCAATCTCCTATCAATCATATCAATAATAGACTCATGTGCACACCTATAGCAATAGACTACTGCCGAATTATATACCGAATGCCTTATCTAAGGCCTTACAACGAGTGTCCGGCCAGTAGGAGTATCCCGCCGGCAAAGGCCTCACCTTGATCTTACCAACGGGGTTGTCCAGCACAGGGACCTTTAACCCAGGTCTTACGGCTCAAAATGTGTCCAGCACAGGGACCTTTAACCCAGGACTTACGGCTCAAAATGTGTCCAGCACAGGGACCTTTAACCCAGGACTTACGGTTCAAAATGTGTCCAGCACAGGGACCTTTAACCCAGGACTTACGGCTCAAAATAATAAGGAGACCACCCAACGAGTACGTTCTATAGATACGGGGATAACCGTTCGACGGCCGGTACAGCTCGCATCGAAGGCTACATGTTCCACATGCATACTTGATCATACCAAAAATTTAAAACAGTAATAACATTTACAGCATAGACAATTTTACATTAAACCCACCTGATACTGAAGAGGACGAAGGTGAATGCACGCTCAAACAAGGGTGAGGACTCGACTCTTAATCTACAATTAAAATATTTATTTTATTACTAAGGGCAAACAGACAAACAAGCAAAGACAAACAAGGAAAATTAAACACATAAAGCAAATGAGACAAACAAGGCCATAACAAGATGCTTAACCTCTCGTTAAAATAGATTAAAATTAAGCCTGCTTCTCATCTTTTTGTTATGGTTTGGTAGCAGGAATGTAATCATGGTCAATTTCAAGGAGCAGATAAACAAAATTATCTTCATAATGAGTACGAGTGACAGACAACAGAAAAGGCCTAAGCTTAATCATCAGCCAATGAAAAATGTGCACCAATCTCCATTTCGGTACTCCTTAAATCAGATACAAATAGCATCATAGTTTGTTTATCCATCATATTCTATTAGGACAAGCCTGTAACCACCCACGTTTGCAAAGTAATTGAAAATGATAGTTGCAACTTTAGTTACTAAATATCCTTATGTAACATATCTTTTAATTCATCTCATAAAGACAAAATGTTCTAAATTGTCAAAAACAGAATTTTAATTTTACCAAGTTCTATTATAAAACTTTTTTAGTACTTGATCTTCAAGCATCAAAACCCATTTCACAGCTCATCACATAATAGAACATGTCAAAAAAAACAAAACACTAACAGACACATAATTTAGTGGTACAATAAGAAATTTACTACAGAAATCACAATATCCTAACATGCTTAATTATTATGTAGAAAGGCATTAAAACTGAAAATAAAACCCGACTCTAAGGCTCAGTAAGATCATGCTTTCCATAAAAAGGAACTCAGCAAAAATTGGCGTGGCAACAAGGCAAGACTCACGGCAAAAAACATAACATATAGGCAAAGGAGGTAAAAACTAGCTGAGACCTCCTCTTCATGTTATGGCCGAGTTTAGTAAATTATTTTTAAAAAGTCTGTGATTTGTTAAAATTGAAGAATTTTGAGTGGCCTATATGTTATGTTTTTGCCGTGAGTCTTGCTATGTTGCCACGCGAATTTTTGTTGAGTTCCTTTTTATGGAAAGCATGATCTTACTGAGCCTTAGAGTCGGGTTTTATTTTCAGTTTTAATGCCTTTATACATAATAATTAAGCATGTTAGTGTTGGGTTCGCCTGTACCGTACGAGCTATACGCAGCGGAATTTAAAATTTTTCAAAACAAGTATTTAACACTTAAATACTTTACTCGTACATACATATGACGAATTAACAGATCTTCATCTTTAATAACATGTAATAATACATATTTTGATTTGTTGTAAATAAATTCTAAATTTACCTTAGTCTTGAACTCCTTCAAACTTGTCGATGAATGAGGGAATCGATTCCCGATTTGTAACAACAACTCCTTTTGGTTACTCGCTCAGGAATCCAAGTGTCTTCCCTCTAAACGTATCCACCTTTTGAATCCGGTTCCGAACTAGTTCCTTCGCTAGTAGAAACTAATCGGTTTTTATTTAATTAGTTTAGAATATATTTCAAGGAAATTTTACAAGAACTTTTCTTGTTTTGGAATATGAAGAACACTTCTTCTTTTCTCTCTTTTTCAACTTTTGAAAACTTTGCAAGACTTAGCTTAAAATTGAACATCATGTATGTTCATATTTATACTAAACATTTTAGTATAAAATAATAATATTGGGTAGAATATTTTCATAAAATATAAAAAGTCTTCAAGAATATTTTCATAAAATATTAAGTCTTGAATAAGACTATTCCCCACCCAGTATTCAATTAATAAGAATAAGATTAATTATGTTAAGTAGTTAGCATCTCATAACCACCATAATTAATTTATTCTTATTAATATTTAATCTTTAATCATATTAAAGATATTAAATAAAATAATAATTCTTGAAAGCATCTTTCAAGACTTTATTATTTTAATCCTTTATTCCATTTCCTCATTTAATAATCATATTATTATTTGGATTTGAAATTTAAAATCTAATTTTAAATTCCAAATATTAATTAGTAATTCCACTATTTACTAAATTAATATCCAAAATTCAATTAATCAATCCAATTGATTAATTTAATATATTCCTTTAATTGACATCTAATCAAATTAGATTTGTCAATTAATTCCAACTCTTTAGAATTACTATTTGAATTTCACCTTCATTCAAAAATTGGTGTGACCTTTTAGGTTCACAATTAATACTAGTAGTGGGTTTACAACTCTTTGTAATTTGAGTTAATCTNA